GGTACAGAGTTCTTGCTGAAGCTGCATTCCCATAGAGCTGGATAGGAAGTTGATTTATTCCTCCACTACAAAACAAAAGTATCTCTGTTTACAAAATACGGCATGTTTTTAGTTGTGAAGCAGATTATTCTGCTGTCATTCTGCAGGTGTATGTTTCTCCTCTTACCTCCCACCCTTATTTAAAGAAAGAAAAAATGTGATATTTATATACAAACTAGATGAACTGCTGTTGGATGCTGGTGTGCTGTGACTTACCCCTTCCATTTTAAGCTATTCTCTAGTAATAGAGCAGCTTTTCTAGAAACTAACTTCTCAGCAGTGATACCAATTAATTTTATTGGATTAAATTTGCTATTACTTGTTCCTGTACTTGTCAAAGTAGTACCTAATAGCATGCTGCATGGTGAATCACCTTTAACAAAGAGCATTGCTCATTGCCAGTTTAAGGGAAAGGAGATAACAGCTCTAAGCTTTCAAAAATATATTGTAACAGGCACCAGTATAGCTTTTAAGGGGTTATTTTAATGCCTAGAAGTCTGGAAGAGGTGACTTTTCAGCCTGATCTGGAGACAAAACTTCTTTTTTTAATTCCTGAGTTTGTGTGAATTTCTTAGTGAGGAACTCACCTAACAGGTACCTTCATAACGTTTTTCATCCAGGGAGCTTGGAAACTTTCTTTGTTGTTGTTATACAACTTTCAGTGCATATTATCACTTTGCCATAATCCAGAGATCAAACTTAGAAGTTAAACTGGTAGATAATTTGATCACTGGAACTGAAAACTAATGCAGAGTAAAAAACCGTTATAAATCCTTAGCAGTGATATTAATTAAACATTGCAACAAATTACCTTGAGGTGTGGGCCTCTCCCACCACTTAAAGCTTCTGTCTTTCAAAGAGGTATGATTCAGAAATTGTGTGTTGAGACTAGACCATACTGCTCCTTTCTTCTCACAGGACTACTCATAATTTTTTCTTAATTTCTGTCAGATGTCCCAAGCTCTGAGAATAGGTATTGCTGCCACTTACCAGGTGAAACTGGCACAAGATGAAATTATCCCTTTAGAAAGTGCTCTTGGGCTGAGTCCAAAAGAGGCGATTATATAGTTCAATTTTCACTGCTTTGTTTAAATCCCATCATATATAAAATAGTAACTGAGTTTCAGGTTTAGAGAACATATTTGGTGTGCAATCTACAAGTAGAAAATACGCTAAGACTCTTACCTCTTGGTTCTTTGTGAATGCTGCCATGGTGATGGCTGGTGCAGGCAGAGCAAGAATTTGGAGAGTTAGTAAAGAACGCTAGTGTTCCAAATAAGAATTTATACTTTACATTATCTTACAGACTTCAAATAGCATTCTAAAACAAGAATATTACGAATTTTAGTAAACAACACTACTTCTTGCATGGTTGAGCTGTTTTACAGGGAACAACTCAATTTTAATTGTTTCTATTGTTTTTAAAGGCAGCAATGGAGAAGCCAATTAATCATCGATTGTTTGTGACAAGAATTTTGCAGGAATTTGAAAGTGACACATTTTTTCCAGAAATCGACTACAAAGATTACAAACTTCTCACTGAGTAAGTATCAAGAAGCATACTAGTCTTGTGTTCAGGTGTAAGAGTTAATAATCTAATTTGAATGTGTCAGGGTCCCATTAAGGCCATGTTCTGTTTTGAGTTAGAGGTGCTTTTCACTGTATTTTTTTCCCCAGAGTCATATTTTACTTAGAACCTGGAATTGCACCTCACTCAGCACAGAGGGGTTGTTGGAACTCACTGTGTTCTTCAACCTTCCCGTAATCTTTACAGTAAAGAATGGCATTTGTCAGTTTGCTTGAAAAGTAACTTTCTTATTATTTCTCACTTCAGAATTACTCAAATATTTACTAAGCTTCGTAACTCTCAGTATGTTGTTAGTCAATGATATGTAGCCTCTGAATGTCTGATAAATTGCCAAAGACAAATTAAATGGTTTTGAGCAGGGAGGGTTGAGCCTTTATAGATTTGTAAGGTTATTCCTCTCTCTTGAGAAAATTACTTCTTCCTAAAAGACTTAGTAGGAACAAGTATTAAACTGTAAGTTTCTGCCATTCACTGTGGTTTCTTCTATGTCATCCTTGTGATATTCTGGTCATATTTTTATGTGCTCTCCAACAAGATTACATCCAACAGGCAGTAGGGAGGTGGGAAAAATTCAAATGTCTGCCTCAGGAATCAGCAAGGAAAGGACCTCTTCCTCTTCTTGCTACTCTCGTTTTGGTTCCCAGCTGATTATAGACCAGCAGTGGAAGAAATAGAAAGTATGGCAAGTCAAGTTCTCTGCGCAGGGCACAGGAATGGATTAGCACTGAGGTGGGGGAGAACAGGTAGGGGCAGGAAAGAAGGATGCGGGAGAGACAGACAACGTGAGTGGGGAGGATAAGTCACCTTTTTCAACTCTAACATGTTCTGATCTGCTCTGTGCCATATCATGAGCCCACTTCAGTATCCTGATGTCTGACCCAAAGCTCCCCTCTCTCCCTCTTGGCTCTTTCTCAGGTATACATTGGTTTTGGCCAGTGTACTGAAATCAGAATTTGGCCTTAAAGCATGAATTTACAAAATAGCAGATAATTCCCTCACTAAAGTGGAAACCTGATAAAGTCAAACCTAGCGAATAAGATTTAAAATTTCTTTCTCCTTCAAAGTCAACATTACTCGTACAAAATCCTCATTCTGTCACAGGGAGCTGAAGAGATTTTTGAAAGTATCAATTAATAAAAACTTTAAGAAGCTGTCGTAGACTTGTAAGCAACCTTTACCTTAGCATTTCCTCTAAACCATCTGAGGAAAAACAAAGCAAAAAAACCCAAAAGTGTTCTGTATCTCTTCTGCCTTTGCAGACATTTTAAATAACATGTTGGAGGCTTTAATAAAAATGTTGGGGTTTTTTGATTAAGCCAAAAAGGTGGGGTTTTTTTTACATCAGAGTATGCTTTCTTGATTTAAAAAGATGTGCATACAAGTTGCTGATAGTAGTTAACATGATTCCTAAAAACAGCTTGTACTTAGTATACCTGTGGTAAGGATGGTATTTTCATCTCCTTTTTCAAACAACTCTCTTTTCTAATTGATTGGATAAATTACAGGTGACTCATAATGATATTCTTACCTACTTGTTGGCTTTGCTTTTTCTTGTCCCCTCTCTCCAGCTACCCAGGTGTCCCTGCTGATATGCAAGAAGAGAATGGCATCCAGTACAAATTTGAAGTGTATGAAAAAGCTGTCTTGGCACAATAAATGAGGCTTTCTGTACTTCTGTGTAAGGGCAGGATTTTTAAATCATGAAGTCTTATTGAGTGCAAATGCATATTAAATTATTGAGAGAAAATCCTGCTTGATAGTACAATGCCTCAGTAATGAATGATTCCAAAAAACACACCCCACACTCTGAATATACACCCTGCAGTGGAAATATGAAGGTGGTCAGCAGCGTGAAAGAGGTAGCCCTAAGGAATACTGCAACTAAGGTTGCATGAGACCTTGTATTGATCTTTACAATCCATGGCAGCACCCCTAACAATTCCATGATTAATGGAAGGCATTAAACTGCGTCAGAACCTTTCTACCTAAACAAAGGTTTTGAGTATCTCCTAACTCAAAACGTCCGACATTGAGAAAGTGTCAAAACTCCTGAGTTTAACTGGGGTGGTATATACATTTATAACAATCTTTAAAACATACTGGTATAGAGGAAAAGGTAATCAAGTTTGAAAGCATAACAAGAGAAATGGAGTCTGGAAGTCTCAGGTAGCAGTTGAGGGATACATTGATCCTTCATGGAAGTCTTCTCTTGTCATCTTAACCATCCTGGGTACACAGCCTACTTCAAGCCTTTTGGCTGAAAACACTGACTTACAGATTAATCTGATAAAGAAGTTTTAACATTTCCATTAACATCACACCCATGTAAAGGCTTGCTGCCCTTATAAAAAGTTGCTATGTCAGTTCGACCGTGGCCACTTTGCAGTATAAGAACACAAACATTGCTTTCTTAACAGATTCTGTGTTCTTATGTCCATTCTCAGTGTTACCAATGCAGATGCAGAGTCTTAATTTGTTGGTGTGATTCTGAATATTCTGTGTTGCATACAAATATGGATTATAAGCAGATAGCGGGGTCCTGTTTCCTCTCTCATTAAACATAGCTAGTATAATAATGTTTTGCGTTGCTATTGCCTAAAAGTAGCGAGCAATATACTGGTGCTGTAGTAACACTGCGATTGTAATGGCGTATAATGCCAAGTGTTGACCAAAGTTTATTATTGCCAATATTATCACAACATTATCAGTAATATTAGTCTGTTGCTATGCTCTGACTGTGGGGGGTTTGTCAGATGGCAGAGGACTTCATATATGAAGTGTCATGGAGAGGAGCGAGGATGTACCGTGCCCATCTATGCTTCCTTGTGCTGCAGCTGCCACCCTGAGAGTGATAGCCTACAAGGAGGGAGACCTGCCTCCCTTTCATTGCAGATCAGTCTGAGACATGAAGAGCGAAAAAAAAAGGTTTTAAAAAAAAAAAATCAACCCTCAAAATTCTGCTGACTGTTTCCCCAAAGCATTTTAAAAGCTTTGTCTTATGGAGCAGTATTGTGGGAGATCCAAGAAATAATGCTTGTCCTTTAATGTCACACTGAGGCCCGGTTCTAACATCAGGGAGGGTGGCACTGGCCATCGGCAGGCTTTACGCAGGTTACAACCGTAGAGAGGAGCGTGGCAGTGCCCGGTTTTCTAAGAGAAGATTAAACCTTGATTTTGCTTGCTTCAAAAACGAAACCTCTTTGATAAAATGCTTAGAGTATCAGCTATGAACACCTCTTGAATCTTCCATGGCAATTTACAACACTTAACTGATAACAAAGATAATTTTTGCAGCATCTGTTCTGGGTTGTCTCAGTTTTCTCTGTGTTCCTTTTGCATTCTTGAAAACGTAAGTACTTTCCTGTGTTGATCTTGCCCCATGTTTGTTGACTTTACATGGGTTGATAAAGATTAAAACAGCAAAGTTATATGCTTGCGTAATACAGCAAAGAGTCTAATTTGCCAACACATTGCGAAAGGGAAGGAAAAAGGCTGTTACCAGGGGGATGCTATTTTTTTTTTAAATATGTCACAGTGACCCTGATGAGAAAATAACCTCCCAAAAGCATTTAATATGTACCAGTTAGTATCAAAAAGCAGGTCACTCTTGAAAACTCTGCACAGCTAGTCTGCAAAGTACTGTGTTTATGGCAACTGACATTTATTAAAAGTGGAAGCACAGACTTCGTGCAATGTTAGCTTACACTGTGATACCGATGCGAACATACATTAGAGAATTTCTACCTAAGCGTATATTGCAGGAGATACAGTTCACTGAGGCCAAAATGTTTTGTAGAACCACTTTGGTTGCAAAGAACTTTAACCTGGATGCAAACAAGCCTACTGGGAACATAAATAGTTAACTCTGACTCTTTGTGGACTGACAGTCCTCTCCAGATTTAACTATGTTCATTTGTCAAATTCTGCAACAAATTAAGTCAATTTATGCTTCGTGGAAATGAGAACTTTTGAAATAACACAGCAGTTTCCTACTTAAAACTTTTCAGAACGTATTAATGATGCAGTTTCTTCAGTATGCCACTCTGCCAAAAAGATGCATTTTTGTGGTTTTTGTTTTAATAAAAGCACTGCATTTGGACAGCACCTGTTGCATCAGAGCTTTTAACTATGCCGTACAGATCCCAATCAAGAATTAGGAAAATGCATTTGATTGCAGTGAAGTTGGGTCCAAAAGAAGCATGTTCATCCTAATGACAGACAGACCAGCCACTGCAAGGTCGGATGCTTACTGTTTCAAGAAGACGGATAGGCAGAAGGGTGTAAGTCCCTGTGTTCAGGGGGCACATACGAAGGCTGTTTGCTGACAGGTGTATTATTTCCAGAGGATGGTTACTTTGCACATTTTTTTTAAATCTGTGCCCTTTTAAAGATACCTCGGATTGTTCACCCAAAAACTGAGACCAGGAAAATGGTTGCTCTCTTCTTCGAAAGGCCAGAGTTACTAGCTAGAGTTTGTACGGGGACTTTTTCAAAAGCGATGTTTCGCCGGGTGACAGGTTGGTTGAAAAAGCAACAGATAGGAAGCAAGTGTTTGCTGTTCACCTAAATCGGGCGTTGCACCTGTTACCTCCCCGTTTATATTTCCCAAAGGAAATACAAATGTCTTATACTATGGCTTGAAGAAAAAAATCCTTTTTTCCAAATACAACTTTCCCACGTTTTGTTTACTCCCGTACCTCACTGATGTGTGATTCTGTGAAAAGCCATAGATTCTCATTATGCCTAGTACAGGGGGAAATGTCATGTTTTTCCCCAGTTCCATGCAGCTAAGTGCAATGAATAGCATCATGAATGACAATGTAATTACAAATCACCAAGAAAAGTATAGTAAGATATAATTTAATCCCCCTCATTCATGCTTTCCCAGGAACAAAGTGTTCTGAACAGATTGAAAATTTAATTTTTAAGGATAACACTAGTTTTAACAAGATAGCTGAAACCAGAGGGTTTGCATAAGAGGTGAAAAACAAACCATTAATGTTTCTGTTGCTTGTCTATTACTCATTATCTCTTTTATCTGACAGTGGACAGCAATTTCCATTTTGCAGTAGAAAGCTGATGTTTTCAGTAGCTCACCAGTAACGATACGGCCACGGTGTATTCAAAGACAGAACTGGGAACATTCCAACAACAAATCTCCGTTACGGAGAGCAATCCATGGAGAAGAAAAGTACACACTAAATAATATGAGTTTCCTAATTTAGCAAACAGAATATTATTAGTATATATACAGAACACCAGGGGAAAACAGAAAGGGGAAAATGACAGTGATTAGCTTAAACATGTTATCTAAGGAGAGCACCAGGAACACTTGACATGAGATCTTAATTGGGACCACACAACCATGTTGTCTTCATCAGACTACAGCTAATTTGCCAAAGGCTTAAACCTAAACCCAAACTAATTCTGAGTAGTTTAAAAGCTAGGCTAACAGAAGAGGAAGATGTGAGCAGGCAGTAGCTGAGTCAGAGAGGGGAGAAGCTGTGGGAAGGATTGTTTTTTAATCAGTGCAGAAAATGAGGTGACTAGAGGTGACAAATGAGGCGACAAAGCTTGGTTAAGTATGAAACTAGGAGATACTTCCCTCATTATTCAGTTGTGCATGAACTGTCTCTGCTCGCCCAGGAGGGCTGTAGGAATGAAGCCTATCAAGTCAGGGTAGGCTGACCAAAAAACCACAAAGATCTTCTAAAGAGGCAGGTCTTGGAACAAAAGAGTGGAAATGGGGAAAGAGAGGTGTGGAGAGGAAATGGATGTTTCCTGGAAGGATTACACGGTTTCTTGTGTTGTTTGCCCTGTGACTATAATTACTAAGGAAACACTTTCAAACTGGTACGGGGTTTAGCACTTGTAAGATGCTGTGACAAAGAATTTCACCGGTGAAGGATTTTCAGGATTTGGATGTCTGCGTGACTGCCTTTGTCAGCTACACAGAAGTCCTCAGCTGCAATTCCTACGCCTGCACCACATCCGAAAGCAAGACTCCCATCCCAGAGCATCCAGTAGCCCAAGGCTTAGCATTGTGCCGAGGCTGATGATCTCCTGCTTCCCTTGGTGGACAGCATATGCTCCTGGGACTGCATATGGGAAACCTGCCAATTTCTCTTGGTCTTCAATTATAAAGACTTGCTTTCTGCTGGCTCTGGGGTGATCCTGGGTTATTCCCTCTGTTTTCTACCTGCAGATCATTCCGTCTCTTTTCGCATAACGTCAAAGCAAAAATTGTACAAGAAGTCTTCTATTAGACTAATTGACGTGGTTGGAAAAAGGACCAGAACAAATTCTGGTTACATTCTCAAGACTTTTTTCAGGTGATTGGAACAAGGGCTAACATGCCAAAACTTGCCTGTTTATCTCCAGTTAAATTCGGTGGTTTAATAACGTAGATTATCTCGCCATGTAGATCTAGTTTCGCTCGTATCTTTTAATGGTCTTGGCTACAGCATTTGTGTATCACCTTCAGTCCTCAAGCTATGGTCCTCCTAATTCTGTCCCTTACCTCTTCAGCTGTCCTGTTGGACTGGAGATTTACAGAAAATCAGACAATTGTGCTGATCAAGAAAATTACGTATTTCAAATAGAGTGCTCTTAAGTATGTGCTTATGTCTGATTAAGTGGTAGTAAGTGTTTTTCCTGAAATCAGGCCATATATTTGCCTAGTTAAGGAAAGCTTTAGGTATGAAATTAAATATTTTGCTAAATGATGTCTCCTATGAAAAAACAGGCAGAAAAAGAAATACAGAACTTGAGAGGACAGGAAATGGATGGTACACCATCACTCACGGAAGCCTAAATTGTCTTTTCCTTCATCGGTTCAGTTTAATGAGCTCCTAATATCAAGCAGAATCTTTTTCAATAAACAAACCGTTATACAGAAGTAACTTTGGCTGTAAACTGCATCACTGATTTGGGAAGGACGCTTGCACAAAAACAGGGTGTTTGCTCCTTAGAAGTAACATGATTTTAATGTTCATCCTTCTGTTGAAGATGATCTTAAGTTTTACTGAATCTTTAGGTTATGAAATAATCAACTATAAGAACATTTTGATTTTAATAAGTTAGCCCTTACGGTAGCGTTATGTATAGGTTGCTGTGTTACTTATTTGAGGCTGTGCTGCTTGAAGTCCCTATTCTCTATTCTCTGGACTCTCTAGACCATAACCAGAGCCCCTAGGTTCTATTGTATATGGGATGAGTTATTTGACAGCCTGGCAAGGTAGATATCTAGCTGGCCAGCTTGGCAACAAAACCTACTTTTAAGGTGTCCTGAAGTGAACTGCCTTCATTATAATACTAAAAAACACACCCACAGGTCAAGAAGCCCCTTGCCCAGGTGAAGACCCTTCCCCCGCGCAAGCGTAGTAACAGAAGAGAATGACATAACCGATATTATAATTATATGTAAATCACTAACCAATCATTGTAACTGGGAGTGTACTACTGTACAATTTTTGTGTATAAATGTAACGGTGATCTAGCCATAGGTGTGCTTGATTTATGGAAATTCCACCTTGCACCCGGCGCCGCAATAAAGAATGCCTGCTTTCTAAAACTCCAAATTGAGTCTTGGAGAGTTCTTCATCTGCCGATTTACGGTAACACTTCCGCTGAACTCACAGTTTTGCACACAAAACCCTGCTGGGAACACTCAGACTCGTTTCAGACAGCTGTACTAGTTGATGAATTAGCAGTCCTTTGCTGGAGAGCCCTGCTCCACCTCTCAGCCGGCTGGAGAGGTTATGCCTCATGCACTTCCAGCAGAGCCAGATGGGTTCATTTAAATATCCAGTGAAGAGTGATTTCAGCTGAACAAGGTGGGTTTGCCTGAAAGGAAAAGGAAAAAGTCAAGTGATCCTTCCCACTGATACAGCTGTGGGGCCCGTAACGCCTAATGAGGGACAGCAGTGAGCAAGCAGGAGCAGTCATGTCGTCACTCGCTTCAGCTAGATCTAGATGAGCAGCTTTAAAACCTGGAATAATTTGACTTGAGCTGCCTGTGGACACGCTCCATGGAGGAGCACACCTTGCAGACCCCGGAACACG